GCACAAGATCTAATTTGCAGTTAGAGTCAACTTTGAAATAAAAACTGATTTTGGGAACCGGCTCACCTTGCCTGCAGTCTTTAAAACAGGACCGGTTCTGTTTCTGAAACAGGTTTCTGTTTGGGAAACATTTCCAGGTTTGGGGGAAGGGTAGATCAGGGGTTCCCAACCCCTGGGCCGCGGCCCCGTCCTGGGCCGGGAAGGGTTGGCTGCCGGGCCGGAAGTGACCATGGACTGGCAAACCGCAGACCGGTCCATGCTGTGGACCAACATCCAACCCTTTTTTATACTGAGTATACAAAAAGAGTCGTCCGCCTGCCCGCAGTATGCCGGTCACTGCCAGTTTGCAGCCACTTCCAGTCCACGCTTTGTCGGTCCTCAGCTTAAAAAGGTTGGGAACCGCTGGGCTAGATGGTCGCAACGCTCTCTTCCGACCTCAGACTCGGACCGTATGAATCCTCTTGTTCATCCTTTCCTTTCTAGGTGTGTTTGTATTGTTCCAATACGTTCCTAAGACGTGCAGGTCTGCATTAAGACAACGACAGCAATCACGTGTCATGCTTCAGCACTTCGGCTGCACATGTACAGTGCTTACGGGAGAGGGGTTTTTCATCCCTTGATGCACAATTGGCCAGAGGTATTTGGTTTTGCCACCGACTTTTGAAAAGCCCCCATAGTACTCAAGGAGTAATCTCTCTCAAGATATCAAGATCAAGACCAGTTCTCAGCATGGGGTGAGCAGAAGCTCCTTGCTTTATCTCCAAGGAATCTCAGGGTTATCTCAGAGGAGTGGGAATAGAGAGGGAGGGAGGGGCCTTTCCAATTGTACTCAACCTTTGCTTTGCAGTAGTAGAGCTGTAAAGTGGGCTAAAAAGCTTTGCACCCATCAAGGCCTGAGCTCAGGGATGTGGCTCTTTCTAGAGCTGATGAAATTCTCACCTATACATCCCCGAAGCCTATATAAGGTTGCATAAGGAAGGTCACTTTCTGTGCTGTTCCAGGCATGGGTGTTGGGTCTGCATGGATTACTGCAAAAGAAATGCACAAGTAAATGCACGGCAACTAAGCTGTAAGCTGTCCACAAACAACATAAGTCATAGTGATTTCCACTGCCTCCAGCGTGATGGTGGATTTTGTCCCTGGTGCATAAAAGATGGTGATAAAAGTGTAAATTTCCCACCTATTCTGAATGCTTGGTCATTCAAGCAAGCCCCTTTGCAGACACAAGGCTCTTCTGCACTTTGTTCGCGATTGTTTCAATTTGCATCCATGAATTCTCTGGGATTTTGAGGGGTTTTCTCGGGGTCGGAGTTAGGGTTCACTCTTGTTTTTGTTGTGCAGTGTTGCACAGACCAAGCGTCAGGGTTGGTTTGCAAACTCGGTATGCAGTTTGTTACAAACTTGAGAAATACCAGTTTGGTAATCCCACGGATGCCTTTTAGATGTGGACACCATTTATTTTGTCCATTGGAAGGTCCATAAATAGCTTTGGCTGAAAGACGACTTGAGACCTCATTCCAAATGGAGCAGTGCCATGCACTGGCTTCTAGGTCGGGTCATGTCATGAAAACCCAGCGCGTTCGAGCGTCTGCCGTGTGCTGGGACCCGGAGGATGCTGAACTGGACTGGCAAGAGTGTGTGGGGAGGAAAAAGCTGCCTAACTAGAAAGGGATGCAGAATAATGCTTTAAAGAAAATACTCTCTCAAAGCTTTATACGCTTACAGCTTGTCTAGCTGGTCGGGTCTGTGTTTGAAGTGACTGGTTCAGCCCACAGCCAGGGGCACACGAATTACTTAGCAGCTGTTAGTACCGTGTGTCATCACCACACCCCAAAGAAGTTCTTCTAACCAAGCGACAACTGAGTGGAAAGAGACTTTCTAGTCAAACTCTCCCTCTAAAAAGGCTTATAAAGTGCAAAGGAGGTAAATCCGCGGTACACACAAAATGCACAAAGGTGCTGAGGGCAGTGCGGCAGCACTGAGTATCCTGAGCAGCACCAGGCATGCTGTTAACATCCGGCAGGATAGGCGCACAGGCTATAGGTGTGGCACTGTTAGTGTTGGCATGTGCGTGGGTGTAATGTTGCAGCGTGCGGATGGTCCAGATATGCTGGATTTGTCCTTTTTTTTTCTTACACTCGGGTGCACATAGGAGGGCCCCTGCCCGAGACCCACTGATGATGGCTTGGCTGGAGTCATTACAAAGCCAAGGGTGGCTGGTCATAATGGTAATCTTCCGCTCCAGGCTCATCCTGGCTATTCCTTAGTAGTTCATCTCAATCCCTGGTTGGGTTGAACATGCACATTTTACCCCTGAAAGCCAGTTGTGATAGGCTTTGCAATTGAATCGTGGCATGGACAAGAGGGCAGCCTGGGATCCTTATTTCACCTTCACTGATCTGCATTAGACCATTGGAACAAGTCTTCCCCAGGATTAAGAAGTGCATGTTAAACGATTTACCATTTAGTACCAGCAGGAACATGTAGCCCTAACCATGTGTATGCACGTGCATGTAGGTGCAGCTTAGCTCTCGCTGGCGTTAGCACAAGGTGAGAGTACTTAGTCATTCACAGGATTGGGGCTTTTTAGCTTGGAGTTGCCCTTGTTCTGCCAGTACGTGCAGGACCATCCAGAAGGATGGTAGCACATGCAGATACACAAGCCTGCAAGTAGAACTGACCCATCCTGATTGTGTCTTCGTGCTCCTGGAGACTGTAAACACTGCGGGCGCAGAGGCATATTGTGTGTTGGTTTGCAACAACCGGCTCATGCCGTTCTGCCTTAAGCCTTTTCCTGCCACTGATCTGGATTCCAGGATGGTCGTCTTTAGCCCTGCCTTTTAAAATGATTTCAAGGAATTGAACTCTATTTCTTCATTTGCAATCCTCTCTTCACCTATTTTGACTTTAAAAAGTCAGTAAGTTATTAGCACAGTTGTCGACCATCTCCCTACTGCACAGCGTTGTTGGGTTCCTGCGCAGCCAGCATCTCGTGTGGACGCCCCCGAGGACGAGGGGTGGTATAACGTGCGCGGTCACCGCCTGGGTGCATAGCAGCAGCACTTATTCGGTGATACGGCCGGCACTGGGGTCTGTTTCTTGGTGCTTGGGTCTGCTTTGCAATCATCCCTCTAGGGTAGTAGCATCCCTCCAGCAGGCGGGTGGATTATTATCCACATCAGAGTGACTGCTTATCGTTGTCTTATCCTTCCTGAGCCCCACCCTGTGTTGTCACTCCCTGCCATTCTTAGTGTAGATGGTAAACTGTTTGCAGCAAATAATTTAACCACCTCTCTGAAATGCCTTGTGCAACTACAGTTCCAGATAAGTAATAATCCGGTGACCATGTCTGCAACAGAGGCTCTGAATCCTGAATTGAACTCTGCCCTGAGCTGGTAGTTGAAAATGGTTCTGGAAATGCAGGGCTTGTCCTGAGGATGTGTGAAAGAGGGGGCATTATACAAGATCCAGGATTCACTGATGGTTAGCGCTGGGTCAACACGTTCTTCCGAGCATCCTGGCAATGCCGCCCAATCCTTGATGCATCGGTCCCCCTGACATTCGTGGGCCTAGTTCTCTGGATGCGTGGCTGTAGTGACCGCTGCGTTCCTTTTCTCACGAGGCTCACCACAAGTGCTCTCCTGCTGGACGTGTTTGCGCCGGGCCTTTGTGCCTGGAGGTTGAGTTGCATCCCTATTGCCAAGAGCCCAGCAGGTCGTAATTAGGCTGGCATGATTCGGAGTCCCTGAGTCAGCCTCCCGAAGAACCGCTGTGTGTGCATGCGTGTTCACAGGGCTGGGTGCTGTCACGGGACCGAGAGCCCTCCAGCAAAAGCAAGTCAGACGAGTGTGTCACCCAGCTCCTGACGTGACAATGCAGAGACTCGTTGCATGCATGCATGCATGCATGCATGCATGCAATGACAATGCAGAGACTCATTGCATGCATGCATGCATGCAGCTTGGGTGCAGGTGTGCCTGGGAGGTAGCAGAGTGAGGCTGTGCACCAGAGGAAGCTGGGAGGAATCAGAGGTGATAGCTTTTATTAGACCAGCTAGATTTCTGCAAAAAAAAGTCTTCAGTTGTAAGCTTTTGGACACAAGCCCCCTTCTTCAGGCATAGGGGAAAAGATTATAAAAGTTCCCCTAGGTAGACAGAGGAAGTTGGTACACTTTAGGGATATCTAACTGACTTTCCTAAGAATTAATGTGCAGTTTTACTGTTTTTACTGTTTCTAGAGAAAGCACCAGCACTTTTAAGAAGGCGATGAAGTGTGCCCTGGCACCTTGCTCCCTATTGAAATGCTCGACATCCCAGCACCGTGGGCTCCTTACAGCTCTGCGGGATGCACCTGACATGAGGCTTTGTAAACCAGTATTAAAAAGAATTTAGTAAAACTTGTGGTGCACGGCCTGGAGCCGATTCCCTTAGCGGCTAATGGTACAGAAGCTCCTTTGAGAAATCCATAGTTGGCCATCACGGCTCAAAAGCAGCTGCACCGATGCAGCGATGGTGCTGCGTAAAGAGCCAGCACATCCGAGGCAGCAGCCGGAGCAGTGGTGGAGGCTGCTGACCAGAGTGATCTGATTTCCGCTGCGGAAAGCAAGAACAGGGACAAAAACAGAAACAGTCTGGGGAAGGAGGGGAAGAAAAGAGGAAATACTGAAATAGTTCAGCTGTCTACTGGTTGAGACTGGGAATCCCACAGGCTGACAGGGAGGGAGACGTGCAGGAGCTGGGAGCCAGCCGGGCGGGTGTCTGCCTGCAGAGAGCTGAAGCAGGGCAGGGGAGGTAAGGGGTGGGTAAGGACAGACAGGCTGAGATGAACATAATCCTCTCCAGATAACCAGCCCGCTGATGTTATGACTCTGCCGCAGGATCTTTCAGCCAGCTATGTGAAAGGCAGCCAGTTCTTTCCAGCGATGCTCAACATCTGGGCCTTCCTCTTCCTTGAGTCAGTGGCGGGGCCAAAAAGAAAACCCAAGACCCAAGTCAGTCCTGGAGGGCCACGTGTTAATGCTCTCCCTTTTAGAAACACCTGGAAGGGGCCTAGCAAGAGTCCTTTGCTTCGGCTCCAGCTCCCCATGCATGGTATGTGGATGAGCCCCAGACATGTGCATTATAATCCTCTTTGTCCTAATTCACCCGTATCTAAATGGGGGTTAAATCTGGGGAGGAGATGGAGTATTCTTTAAATCCAAACAGCCCGTGGAGAGGGTCACGTGCTCTGTAAGCTTTACGTGTTACTGCCGTTATATTAACCTGCACAGCGAAACGAAGCTCGTTTGGTTGCAGGAACAAATTTCCATTTTGTGTTTCCGGTTTATAAACAGTGAGACAAAAACAACTTGTGCTGACTCCAAAGGCTGCCACGGGCAGGCAGATCCCCCCAGGACAGGATCATTAAGACAAAAAAGACAGCGGAGTTGTGATATATTTGGGATAGCCAGAATATAACGATGAGATTGCAGATAGCTTAAAAGCTGACTGGCCTGGGTCCATGACACGTGGGACTTGTTCAGGAGGCCAGCATCTAATTTCTAAACCAGTGGCTCTCGGCCTCCTTAGACTCGCGCCCTCCCTTAGAAAATGCCAGCTCTTAAGTTTCACGTTTTTGTGAGTCTGGAAAAATACTAAAGCAAGTCTTCTGCTGCAAAGAGCTCAGAGACCGCAGCAGGGCAGAATGGTTTTGATATGCAACATTTTTTAAATCATGGGTTTACATTGTGCATCCCATGTAGGTGTTTGCATACCTGTGGCACCCTTAAAAGGATCTCCTGGCACCCTGGTGAGAATTACCACCCTAAATCTATGGACACTGACTGTAATACTCTGCTCCCTCCACTGCCTTCAAAGCCAGGAGCTGTCATGTATTAACTAGTAGGACTTATCAGGCATCTTCCAGATGCCACATTACTTTACATATGATTTTATTCTTGGCTCATCAGCTTCCTCACTGTGGGAATGTGTTTCAAACGCTGGCTGTAGATAATGGTGTTTAATTATTTGAGAATTATTACAATTATGCGATCCTTCCCATTCCTCCAGGCTATTAATAGCATCATCTTCCAGGACTCTTTCTTCCATCAAAAGTCTGGGTACGTATGATGTGTGTGTGAAAGGGAGAAGGAGATGGAAGAATAAAGGGTATTAGTTCCAGGGGGTCCAATGGCTTCGTTTCCAAACCACAGCTTCCCCAATCGATCTTATTTACCATCTACATTTCCAAGGAAGCCAGAACTTTCTGATTTACTGTTTTTTAATGTAATCAGAAAGCTTTGATCCATGTTTTAGTGGAGAAGGCTTATACATAAGTAATAGCCGTAGTGCCTGTGGAGCTGGTCCCGCGGAGAGCGCGTTGCAGATGAAAGGAGAACAGCTGCATTAGAAAGCATCTGATCCACCTGGGTATATCACAGAGCCTGCAAATCACCTGGGAAACAGGCAGGTGGGATTGGGAAAGGGCATTTGCATTTATTTCTGAGAGCTCAGTGCAGGGCACAGAGAAGGCAAGGCGTGCACGCGTCCCCCGGGAGCTGGCCATCTAGATGGGGCAGTGGTGCAGACACGGGCAGGGCACTTGGGGAGGGCGAACTCCACTCCCTCTCCTAGGCTGGACTGGTCCCGCCAGCCTTGGTTGCTCTCTGCTGTGTAGGGGCTGGGCTCCCTGGGTGGGATGTGCTTGCAAAGCAGCAGCTACTCCCTGCCTGGGCAGGACTCTCTCTTCCTTGGCTTTGTCTTGGTTACAAGCTGAGTCCTGGATCAGGCCTGGAGAGCCTGGCGTTTGTTCCTGCCTCTGCCTTGCACGCAAACACAAGCATCCTTAAAGCATCGAGAACTAGGTCCTGCTCTGTGAGTCTACGGGAGATGCATTGGCTTGATCGGAGCAGCCCTCATTTACAGCCGTGGGACTGGAAGCAGAATCCGGCCCTGCGTGGGAAGCTGTGTGTCACTAGACTCAGTCCTGGGCTAGAGCTAAAAAAAATTGGATCGTAGGATGCAATATGGATTTGTATCCTGCTATCTTGTGAAGTATCGGGCCTAGCAGCGAATGCTTTTTGCCATTGGAAAGCTCTGAATTCCGGGTATTCCTGCATTGCGGATTCAGGGTTTTCGGGCTGGCATTTCAAAATCGACTCCTCCGTTTTTCGCTCGGTTTGAGTTAGGCTGCTTACGTGTCTGAAAGGCGGGCGTAGATGCTTGTAGAGAACCAAGCAGGCTGCACTGAGACCTCTCCCAAAATCTGTCCCCAAATCTGTGTCAATGTGGAAGGAAGGCGGTAATCGGAATAATGGGCATTTCCATGTCCGTCATTAGCTCAAAAGCTGTGAGGGTTTCGAACACGGGAGTGGATCAGTACGGATGCTTTCTGACCTGGGAACCTTTTCCAAGTGCGGGTCTGAAGTCGGAGCAGCGATCCGCAGGGAAAAACCAGCGGTTTCTGCTTGTCCGGCAGACAGCTCCTTGCAGAAGAGATCCCTTTTGATTAGTTCGAGCCAGGCGTTGGGGCAGCCTGAGGACACTGGACGCCGGGTCTCCGAGAGGGCTGCTCCGGTAGGAGAAACAGCATTTGCAGGCGATTGCACTGGAATTTCCCAGGTCCCAAGTCTGGCCGGTGTTATGCCTCTTAATCCCAATAACCAGTTTCCTAGCCAGGGTGTTTGCTGAGGTTTTCAAGTCAAGGTGATCTGGTCGGACTTTGAACTTTAAATCTTCTTCTTCTCTGGCAAGCCTGGTGAAATGAGTGAGAGATGGCAGGGGCGCTACCAAACATCTGTAAAGCATGGTGTTCCTTGCGTGGCGGTTTTACAGGTGCATTATTGCTAATAGAGGCTCTCAAAGACCTACTGGGTCATTTAATTACTGGGCCATTGTTGTGTAACTCATATGTTCCCTTGCTACCCAGCATAGGTATTTTGGAGCCTCCGACTAGGATTACAGCAAGGCTTGGTGGAGAATACGGGTGGAGAACTTGTGTAAGAGCTTGTGCCAAACTGACAAGTCGGTGTGCAAAGGCATTAGGATTTCGATCAGTGGGGGTTTCTAGTGTTTCTGCTGAGTATTTTGGCAAAGGTAGGAAAATAATTGAATTGTGAGAAGTAAATGAGAAGGCCTCTCAGGTCCTCTCTGAGGAGCGAGGTCGGGAGCTACTGCTGGGCTGCTGTGGCTGGGGCAGAGCACTGCTTCCCGTAGCATCTGCACGGCTGTGCTCCCGTCCCAGCGATGTGCTGCCCGACCCTGCCTTTCTTACTGCTTCGGGCTGGACACGAGCGGGGTGAGAAACACTAATGATGCGTTTTCAGGCCGTTCTGTCTGATTTGATGGAAATGGTGGTTTTTTTAACGAACCCAGTTCCATATAGCGCTGTCTGAGATCTAATCGGTGAGTCCACATGGGGTGAGACGTGCCTGAGCTTGTACCTGTGAGAGCAGATATCAAAATGTCTAACATCAGCCCACAACGGAAAAGAAGAGCTGCTTCTCCCTGGTCTTACCTTTCTTTGAGGGCCTCATAACGCCAGCGCTTCTGAGCGCAATGGATATAATGTGTGTTGCACCAACTAGGCGTGTTAAGAGGAACTAAAAACTAGTCATGATCTTAACTCTAGTGGTTTAGGCTCTAGATGTTAACATTGCCCTATTGGATCCACTGGTCATTTAGCTAGTAGTTATGCAAGCATAGCTAAATTGGATTTGATTTAGCAAAGGGTGTTTATGGCCAGTAGTGATGCCACTTCATCTTCAGCTAGTTCCTTTCATCTGACAGTCTCCGAGCATCTTCTTATAAATGCAAATGGAGCCTGTGCTGCGGGTGGGCTCGTTTCCATTTTATAGATTGGGAAATTGAAACAGGGTGGGGAGGCGAGTTGCCCAAGGCCATGCAGTGAGTCAGTGGCAGAGGCAGGAATGGCATGCTGAGCTGTGGTTTTCATAATTTAGAACTGGTTTAGTGAGCTGTGAACCGTGTCAGCATGTTGCAGTTTATACCCTCTTCCCCGCAAGCCTGTCTCTAATGGGAACCCAACATATCATCGACCACTGGGGCAAGGGTGCCCAGCAGCAGACATCTCGAAGGAGGTGCCAGGCTGTTTCCATAGCAGGGTCTGAATTGCCAGCGCGTCTCTGAAATGAGTGCATGCTTCTGTGGAGGATTTCCCCCCGCACCAGGCTGCTGCCTTCGGGGTGCTCCCGAAAGCAGGTTGCTGCAGCTCTGTGAGCTCAGGCCTAGGTGTGACTCATTAAGCCCTGATTTATGAATGCTTTTCTCTAATGCTTGCTGAAAGCCAAAGTGTGTCCCCTGCTGCCTTCACGAGCATTAGAGATGCCGGTACACAGCACTTGCAAAAACGGTGGTAGAGGCGGGCCTAAAGCAACCCGCCTGAGCTAGACATTTGGAAGGGCTTGTGCTGAGCCCAGCGCTACACTTGGAGACCCCCCGGGCGACCTTCCACGTGCGCGCTGCTGTGCGTGGGGAGCTCAGGAAGGCGCGTTATGGAAGATGCCTCTTGACACGAGAGGATGAAGCTCAAAGGTATTCTCTCGCAAGGTGCTTACATCTGCAAGAACCAGCTCTGCTCCGTTAAAAGTGGATAGATGGTCCAGCGGAGGATTCGCGTGTGCAGACCGAAGTGGGTCCAGATGTTGACACGAGGCCATCACATCTGGCATCAGAACTGATCTCCTTCCACGGCAGCTCCTCCAGAATGGGGTCTTTGTGCGAGAAGGGCAGAGGAAGGTGGCAGCTGCCTGGAGAAGCTGCCTGCCTTTTGAAGCTCCTCGGCGCAGAGCTAACTTAGACTGATAAAGGTTTAGGAGTGCTGATAGCATCACAAGCTTTACAGCCTGGGAGTGCAGGCAAGTGACTTAAGCAAGGTTGCACAGCAGAGCTGGGAACAAACTCCATCTCTTTGCTCCCACAAAAGGCACAAGAGCGTCCTCCCCTAGGCAGCTGGGGCATAGTCACTTCAATGAAGCTGAGGCTTACTGCCTCTGATTAGGACCAGTTACCTTTGTTACCTCAATACATGCCCATCACAGCTAGGTAATAATGCTAATGCTGCGTGCTGTCACAGGATTGGGATGCTAAACATTAGACTTCAGTCCCATTGTGCAGTACCTAAGTATCCCCATTTTACAGATGGGGCACAGGGGCTGTAATTTCCCAGAGATCTTCTGTTAAGTCAGTGTTAGAGCCAGGAATTGGACTCTGTTCTCCAGATCCCCAGCATTTCCTAACATCAAAGCCCAGGCGGTTGCATACAGAAAAGAAGATTTGGACTCTGCGCCATGTTTTGAGACGTGTTTGGGCAGAAGTCGTATTGCATGTCTTGTGTTGCATTGGAACGGGGTTTAATGCCTTTTGTTGCACATGCACAGCAATGGGAACTATTACCGCCACAGTGCAAATGGATTGTGCCACGCACAGCTCTCCCCACACCCATGGCAACCTGGTTTCTTTGCTCACCGAAACAGTGCCTAGTTGGAAAAAACAGAGGGGAAAATTTCAGCAAAGCCCAAAAGAGACACAATGCCCACATACACTCAAGCACCCATCTGGGATATGTCAGCTCAGCAGCCTTGTATCCAGGATGAATCGCTGCTGTTTCTAACACAGAGCCATTACAAATGCTGGCTGTTCAGCACTTTGAGTCAAACAAGGATCAAGATTGCCTTGCATTTCCAGAAGCTGCTGATAGCTATGAAATGAAGGGTTAGTGTCCAAAGCATAGGCATAAGTATTAGGACATAATTGGCCATTTGATTTAATCCCTGGAAATGTGCAACAGTAAGAGAGAAAATATAACAGCTGTCAAAACTCCTTCCCTGTAATAGCGCAGCTCTGACCCAAGGATGTCATCAGTGTGTCTTGGGTAACCAGCGGCCAAACACGTGTGGGTACAGGCCTGTTTGTCCAGCGTGTGCAGCAAGCTGACGGCAAAAGTCAAGGGACAGTGTTGAAACCCAAAAGCCCAACCTGGTAGACCTGTAAGGAAGGACTCGTGGGATGATAGAGTGCAAGGGCCTGCAGTGCCCATGAAAGTGTAGTTTTACCCCAGTTCTTCACGTGGCACTGAATTGAGGACCCTGTTTCCTTAGGTCAGGGCGAGTCACTGCAGGAAGGTGCAAGATGGACCTGCACGTTGGACTACTGTTGGATCAAACTTGAGGGGTTGCTTCCTCTACTAACTGGATTGTTTCTGTGCTTTGTACTTTCAGCTGCAGAGTTACTTTGCAGCCTGCGAGGATGAGACCCCAGCAATTAGGAACCACGACAAAGTCCTGCAACGACTCTGCGAGCACCTGGACCATGCTCTGCTTTATGGGTGAGCACAGCACATGCCAGCTGCCTGGGACTTACAGTTGCAGAGCTGGGGATGATGGGCTGGGCCAGGATCCCGGAAAGCATGGTTTGATCACCTGCTTCCAAACCCCGTGTCCCACATAATCCTACCTGGCAACCATGTCAGGGCACTGATATTAGATCCTTAACTATTGATTTCCTCCCTTTCAACCTCTTCCTTGTTTTCTCTTCCTTTTGCACTTCTCTGCTTTTCTTTCCTTCTCTCCCCTGCTTTCTATTCTGAATCAAGTGCTTGTGTTTTCAAAAAGCCTTTAAAAACTGAGAAGGCCCCCTAAACCTGTATTATCTCAGCTTCTGCAGAGACGATCTGGGTAGTGCTTTTGTAATGACACTGAGGAATGGGTGGTTTCCAGTAAGAGCCACGTAGAAACTCTTCCACCGCCCAGTCCAGGCAATGACTAATTTGCTTCAAAGTCTGAAATCAGTGAGGTCTTCCTTAACCATCCTCTGGGTTTGTTTCCTCAGGCTGCAAGATCTCTCTTCGGGCTACTGGGTGCTGGTCGTTCACTTCACCCGTAGGGAAGCCATCAAGCAGATAGAGGTACTTCAGCATGTGGCCACCAACCTAGGGCGCAGTGAGTATTTAACTCTGCATCTTTTGGGGCAGCTCTGTGGGAGGTGAGCCCCTGTTCTGGGAAAGCTGGTGCGAGATGGGAGTCAGCTCTATGCTTGGTGTATGAGGTCCTGCGCTAGGTTTAGACATGGTGCGTGCAGGAGGAAGTCGGGGAAGCAGCAGCTACACGTGCTAGTTCTGATTTGGATTCTGAAGTACTGCCCCTGCCGTAGCTTGCCTTGTGCAGAGGAGGAAGCAAGAGTCCTTACGTGATGACCCAGATCCCACAGGCTGTTTGGTTCCAGAGGTGTGAATAGGTGACCTGAAAGGAGACAATCCTGATCATAAATCTGCAAGCCTAGCGCTCAGATGTTAGCAGGAGTCCTAGAATTATAGCATCATAGAAAACGAGGGTGGGAAGGGACCTCAGGTGGTCATCTAGTCCAACTCCCTGCTCCAAGCAGGATCATCCCCAATGATCCTGCATGCCATCTTCAGATGTCAGACCTGCAGATTGAAATCCATAAGGCCCTGGGCTCAAAGAGCAGAATAAACTCAAGTGTGGGAGTTTGACAGCAACAACCCTGAGAAACTGGGCTGGGCATGACGATAACATGTTTTATCTACGTCTCCTGATCGCGCCGAGTTGGGGTTTCTGCGCAGGTATCAAAGCCAGGATCTTTGGAATCAAAATTTCGGCTGTGCTACTTGTGCATCCGTGAAAATGAAAAAGCAGGCAGTGCAGTAGGAGGTAGCTTTGCCAGGATGGACCTGGAGGGAGTACCTGCGTGGTCCTTTTCTGCGCTGTCCCACACAGTTGTCGTATAACTGCCAGCAATGCTGACGCTCTTTTTAATTTGCTGTGAACTGTGTGTAGTAGATGTTCTTTCCCTGTTAAAAGCGAGCGGGACCGTCAAAGCCACGTTCTGCCACGTTGCCTGCCTGCTTATCCCTAACCTCTTCCACCCTGCGTCCTCTTAGCCCGGTGAGAGGGGAGCTGAGCACGTACCTCATCATTCACACCTCTCTCTGCTCACACCTTGTGAGCACCTCCTGATTTTCTAGTATCTTACTAATTATTTGAAATGATTTAGGGAGTGATTCACAGTCTCTCAATCCTGCCAGTTATTCTTTACAAACACTCGCTGGTTGAAATGTCAGCTCTAGTATCTTACTAATTATTTGAAATGATTTAGGGAGTGGTTCACAGTCTCTCAATCCTGCCAGAGTTATTCTTTACAAACACTCGCTGGTTGAAATGTCAGCTGGCTGGCTTTTGCGTGCACATAGATCACAGGCTGTTGTTTCTGTGCGTTGACTGGTTGCGTGCAACTCTTCCTCTCTTTTCCACTGCAAACACTTGCAACCTGAATCAAAAGTGAATCTCCTGCTAATAAGTTTTCAGACTTCTCTGCTTCCACGAACCTTCCTGCTAGTGAGCCGGTCCACTGCAGTGTGTGGGATGTGAATGCAAATGTTTCTGAGATGTAAATAATATTCCTAAGCCCGTTTCTTCCAGATGTGCAGGATAACCTCTGGAGTTCATTTCAGGTCGAGCCTGGCTGTACCTGGCCCTCAACGAGAACTCCTTGGAGAGCTACTTGAGGCTGTTTCAGGAGAATCTGAGCTTGCTCCACAAATACTATGTCAAGTGAGTGTCACTGTCCTCTCAGCCCTGCACGTGTCCCTTGAGCTCCGCCGCTGTTTACATTTACCCTCGTAGAAGACAAGTCTCCATATTTGCTTAGCCAGACCTGCAGTGAGTTAGGGTCCATGCCTGCCCCCAGGGTCAGGGGAAGTGCAGAGTGATTTCCTGGGAGCATCTCAGCCATAAAGCTCAGTTGTGCAGCCAGAGGGACTGCTGTGTCGAACCGTGTCCGAGCCCCGCCTGGAGCCAACGGCTGGGACCAGCTTGCAAAGTTTCTCCTGTGTGCTGACAGTCCCTTATGCATGGATGTTTAAGCCTTTTGCAGGGAAGGTGTCGTATAGACACGTGGCTTGTTCCAGTTTCTTCTGGAAACCGCAGAGAACGTGGAGTATACGGGAAGTAACAAAGGCTCATCCTCAAACCTCCTTTACTGACTTTGGGTAAAATATTTAAGAGCGTGTAAGGGGCTGGGGACCTTAAACCCCAGTGACTGACCATGAGACTGAGGCTCCCAGGCCCCTTGGATATTTTACCTTTAACAACTCCAGTGTTCATGACCCCATAAACGTTTATAAATGTACAGGCACTACCTGACTGTTGCAGTGTTTTATGCATTACCTGTACTCTGCTTCTCTGTCTTGTGTGATGCCAGCTCTGCATTCGTTGGAGGCTCTCGTTTTTATTATTTTTATTTTGCTGTGATCATGTATGGGGATGGGGCTATACTGGGCCGCTCACTTGTCTGATGCTTTGAAAGAAAGGAATCTGGTAGATGTATAAGCTATGCATTTAAAGAAGAGAGCTCCCAGACTTGGTAGATTTTAATTTTTTTTTAAGTCTTTGTGTTATCCAAAAAGCTGCCGACACGTGTCTCATCCAGAGGGCAGATACCTGGGGCATGCCCAGAAATCTGACCTTAGCTAATGTGCAGCCGACTAGTTCTCCTGGCCCTTGAGACTACAAAGAGAAATGTGCAGCTGTCGCAGATGCACAGCCCCGAGAAGCCTTGAGCCCTGAGGCTGCTGGTGGAAGAGGAGGGTCGATACGCTAAAGACAACGGGATCCCACTTGGGCTGTCTGGGGCTTGTTTGTACTGTAGCTCAGGGCCATATTGTGGGGATTGGAAGAACAGATGGGTGGAGAATGTATTTGGACTTGTAAGGTCATGTGCTCAGCAAGGGCACTCGGGGCTTTCTTCTCGGTGCCAAAGCTGACCGTTCTTGTGTTTTATCTGTCGGAGGAATGCCTTGGTCTGCAGTCATGATCACCTGACCTTGTTCCTTACGCTGGTATCTGGGCTGGAATTCATCCGCTTTGACTTGGATCTGGTGAGGATTCGGGTCTTGTCTCCCTGGCTTTGCTGATGGACAGAATGCGTATAGAGCAGGAAAGCCCCGTATACCACATATCGACGGGTGTTGCAATGTAGCTGTGATGGTCTAGGAAACGTATGAGAAACGAGGGGCTTCTTTTTGTGACATCTTTTTATTAGACTGACTCTAATCAGAAGAGATGATGCATAAGGTTTTTGGGAACAAAGTACCTTTGTTCCTGGAAGCATATTTAGGGCCAGTTAAGTATTTAATCAATTCCTCTTCTTGGCTACATCCTTACAGCTTAGGAGGAATTCTTGGTCAGAGCCATCTTCTAGTTTCACAAGTTAGCGCTTCTCCAAATCAACAGAAAATGTGACTTTCTAACCTCTGGTAATCTGCAAATCACTTCCCTAAGCTCGCCAACATACCCTGAGCTTTAAAACGACAGGATAGGTCATCCTCTGTGCCCTAAAGAGCTCACAGGCCTAGACAGAGATGAGATGCAGTCCGTTGCCCAGGAAAGGGAAGTCTGGTTCGCTGGCGAGGTCAAAGAAGTGGGAATGATTCCTGGAAGAAGGGCTTTGAAAAGGGATGTCTGGCTACCGATAGAGCTGCTGCTGTAGGTGTGTGGAGATCACAAGGTCAGAGGCAAAAAACAGCGAATAGGAAAAGAAAGAGGGTGAGAGGAGTGGGAGGGAGCACGAGTATTTGGGTGAGGAACTGAGAGGAGAGATGTAAGTGGGCGTGAGTTGCTGTAGGGACTTTCTGGCAACAAGAGACCAGTGAAGGAAGCGAGGCTGAGGGACTCTGGGACCCCAGCGAGCAGGTTCTCAAATAAGCACGGTCTCCTATTGCAGTAGTGGAGGGAGATGATGGAGCTCGAGAAGACTGGGCCTGTCATGAGCAGCACTGCCGGAGGGAGCAGGAGAAATGACGGGGGCTTCCTTTCTGATTCCCTAAGCAACATCAGGCTATAAGGTAGTCACCGCGCTGCCTTTGCATCCCTAAGGGAGCTGGTGATGTGGAAGACGCTAGCACTGAGAAGGGGGGCAGCGTGATGTGAGAAAGAAGAGCTGGCTGCAATGCAGGACTGTCTGCTGATGGGATTGCTTAAGCGCTTTGAACACCAGAGTTATTCAGGCACCTGTTACAATACTCAGACCTGGAGCTGCACTGAAGCTTCAGCAGACTCCAATTGCAATGCTCTTTGAGTCATGGACTCTGCTCGCTTTCTCCAGTGAGTCTGTTTCCATCAGCCGCTCTGTGGCACAGGCTGACTTCTTGCTGCAGGTTCAGTCTCCTGTGATGGTGTCCTCCGATCATCTGGCCGGAGCAAACTGACTACTGCTTTATCAGCAAGTCGGTTCCTGTTTTCTCAGCATCTGCCCACCACGAGAAAAGAGATTGGGTTCCCCAGTGCCAGTGAACTGAGATGCCTGCATATGCATTTCTGCATTTGTGTGTGTTGGTAAAGAGAAACAGAAATGTGATGGGGTCCAATTCTGTTAGCTCACGTTTCCCAGGGCTGCCTCTGTGTTTCTGTAGTTATAAAAACAAAATATTTGATAACAACCTACAGGATGAATAATGCATACAAAGGTACATTAACCTCAGCAGCTTCCTGCTCAGTTAAGAGAGAACTTTTCCAAGCAGTGGCACCAGTGTAGATGCCAGTGAAAGGCTGTTCCCAGCCCTGAGCTGTGTGACATGACCGGTTCCAGGGTGGGTCTTGCTCAGGCATCTGAGAAGCACTGGTAGAGCTGTGGGAACAACTGGGGAAGAATGGGGGCCCTCAGGTCAGGATTGGGGGGTCACCAGAAGAGCTGAGCAGAGGAGCAAAGGATACCGTAGGTCAAGAGTGGAATGCAGTTGTGCACCTGTGCAGTGCAAGCACGCTGACATTTGTCTGCTGCTGGCTACCAATGAGCTCCTCTTTGAAAGAGGAATAAGCCAGTGACAGGTTATTGAAGCACTTGTCATCTCTGATTGCCCCTGCCTTTACCAGACGTTTGTAACCTGTCATTTCTGCACTGTTTTCTTTATACTGCCCTCACTACCTGGTTTGTCGGAGTAAAGGCCTGTTCCTAATCAGACCCTGATGTACTGTGTTATATTCTTACTCCCAGGATGCTCCTTACTTGGACCTAGCACCCTATATGCCAGATTACTACAAGCCTCAGTACTTGCTGGACTTTGAGGATCGCCTACCCAGCTCCGTCCACGGCTCAGACAGCCTCTCCCTCAACTCCTTCAATTCAGTCACCTCGACCAATCTGGAATGGGATGACAGTGCCATTGCTCCATCGAGTGAGGGTAAGTGGCCTTGGAGAGCAGAGGAAGAGGGGCTGGGAGTGGATGCGCAGCATCTCTGCCTAAGAGCCTGAGTGCTGCAGAATAGTGAGGAGCAGCTCGGGTTCGAGGACAGTCTCTTTTCCCCCCAGTAAAGTGTTGGAAGCAGCTTGCATGTTTGAACAATGCACTTTCCCATTTGCTAAGAGCCCACTAACTGGATGAGAGAGAAGTGTGGGAGCTGGGTGCCGGGGCAGATTATAGGGCCTACCCTTGTCCAAGGAGTGCCTCACAGGTTGCACTCTGAGCCATGTCGGCCTTGCTTCCAGAGGTGTGGTCAGTGGAGACCACATATCCCAGTGGTTCAGTGCAGCATCTTGATCCAAGCTGCCAGACTCTCCCAGGAGAGCGAGCTGTGGCTGGAAAAAAGAGCTTTCTGTGCCACGCGTCACTGGCGGTCTCTTTGTGTCAGGGCATCTTCCCATCCTCGGGCTGTAAAATTCCCCCTGTGCTACGGGAAGGGACGCTGCATTCTTCCAGGACCTCAAACCGAGTGTATTCAGTGAGACAGCTGGAGTCGAGGCTCTGGTCCAAACCAGGGGATGGACATGTGTCTCCTCAATATTAATTGCCCTTGAGTAATGGATGTAGGATAACTGCAGCTATCTTTGCAGGTAGCTGTGGAGCAGAAGCTGGGTCCACATCTGAGCCTTGCCCTCCCCACCCCAGTTCAATGTAGCATGTAGGCCTGTAGATCTAGAGAGACTCAGGTGTGTCATTATGAACTATTACATAGTGAGTTAAAGGGGTTTTGTGAGCTTGAGGACAGAGAAGGGACTATCACGCCGAACACTGGCCCTTTCCTCAGTGTTTCTTTGATGGCCCCCACTACCAAAAGCTAATCAGCTGAGATGCGCTGGGAAGTAATCCCTGCTGCAGCCAGCTGGGAGGGAAAAGGCCATACCCTTCCCTTAGAGCCAGCACCCCCAAGTAGCCATGTGACCAGCCAGGATCCTTTCGACCTGACTGAGCTGTAAACTTTGTAATTGTGTCACAAACCCTGTTGGAATAAGGGTATGCGTGCACGTGGAGTTGCTCCGGATTAGTTGTGTCTGGTAACTCCATGTGTGGATACTCTCGGTTCAGGTTAAGAACGCTTTGTTCCTGGTTAAAATGGATTAAGCTAAGCAGAAACAAGGCACTGTTTTTCCAGAATAAGAGCGTCAATGCACAGAGCTTTTAAAAAATAATTCCTTGTATAGGCAAGATCTGTACGTGGTGTCCAGGATCTGTCAGACTCGAACGGGGGTGGTCTTCTCAGCAGGATTTACCAAGATTGTCTGCCATCCCTGTTGTCTTTTTTGCAAGACAGTAACATGGAGAGTTTGAGAGAGAAGGAACGGCCCATTTGGGTCATTCTTTGTTGAACCCAGTGGCAAAGTTTACAGCAGTTTTATCTAGCTCTTTCCTCAGCTTCCTAGCAGCCCTTCTGACTTCCCAGAGGTGCCAGCCTCTAAGCATCGTCACATAGCAAAGGGAGGCAGCGCAGCAAGCTCCCTCAGTAATAGTCAGGGGGTGCCCCTAGCACTATCAGTCCATTTTGCATTGAACCCCCAGCTCTTTTTCTCGGGCATTATATAGGAGATTTGGCCCAAACTGTTGGCTTGCACCATGTCACATCAGACGTAACCCTGCTCTGGCCAGCAGCAGAAGGTGCCCGGGCTCCAGCACTCATCTTCTATGCAAAGTCTGGAGTGTGAATATTGCCGCAGTGTAGTTACAGTGGTTAATGTGTTAATCAAATGCTGGTGAGGACTGGAGCCCAGGAGACGCAGATGCGAGTTGAAACTCATAGGAAGCTGGGAGCGTGGTTCATAGCCGGGAACAGGGGTCCCCTCCGTGAGGTGGTTACAGCTCCGTCACCAGCTCCCCGTGTGATTCTGGCTGCCAGCTGCTCATCTGTGTCTCAGTTTCCCCATCTGTGAAAGGAGCCAACACTGACTCAGAAATGTGTTGTTCCTCCTCCCACCCCCAGATGGGCTCAGGCAAGAGGTAGGGCAGGTGGCACCTTAGAGACCGACTGGTTGAGAGAAGCAGGAGTTTTCGTAGGCAACAACCTGCTTCATCGGATGCTGTGGGAGGACAGTTCAGCCTCTCTGAACCAGGTAGGCTCTGCGGTGCCACCAGCTGTACCTTCGGCCTGGCTTCAGACTAACATGGCTTAACACCCCCATGAGGCTCAGTAAACTGAAGTTTGTGAAGTCCGTAGATGAAATATGGCAGAACCTGTGGCCGTGTTTACCAGGTGTCCAGCATTTGGTTTGGAGAGAAGTGTGAGCATCCTCCATTTAGCCAGTGGGCCGTTTGCTTTGAAGCAGGATGATGACAAGTAGATGTTGACATGATTAACTGTTTTACTGCTGATCATTTTGACAGGAACTTCCAACTACTCTGGGAATGTAGGTGGAGTTTGGGATTTTAGGTGGAGCTTGAGCAGAGGACAAGTTGCCCCCCTTAATCAGACCCTTGGCTTTGCAAACACTAATGAATCAAACATCACAATACCTCGGGGAGGTGAGTATCTGTGGGAAACTGAGGCACAGAGAGGTGAAGGGATTTGTACAATGAGCCCTGTCAAGTCATGAGAACTCAGGACTTCCTGGCTCTCGGCCTGAGGCACGACCGGCTAGGCCATATCCATCCCTGCCCACTTCACTTTGACAGTGCCTCCCGTAATGGCCCCCAAGCTCAGATCAGGCCCCTGGGACCTAGCACGATACCAATAACAACAAGCAGTGAGGCAGATTTCCTGCGACAACCACGTTCCCTAACCAGTTTCTCATCCTTTTCAGATGTCTAATCTAAGGTTGTTTTGTGTCCCTCCCCTCACCCTTCACATGCTCCCCGTGTTCTCCCTCCACCCCTACTACTTGTATTTCTAATCCTCAGTTTTGTCCCTCATTTTATAGATTATGATTTTGGAGATGTCTTTCCAGCAGTGCCGTCCATGCCCAGCAAAGTCTGGGAAGGTGGGACAGAATCATCTCTTAAACCGTTTCTTTTCTGCATCGTTTCCATCCCAAGCTTGCTGCATGCTCTGTGATTGATTTCTTAACACGAACCAATGCTCTAATCTTGATGGAATTCTGTGGCAGGAGAAACAGGCTCTGTGGCCAGCTGTTCCCCTGGCGTTGGAGGTGGAGGTGTGTGCCACGTGCGCTGCACAGGAGTATATGAGGGTCCCCGAGTCCCCGCAGAGGTTTTCACGTAACCTTATGACATACTGTTTCGGCTCCTTCTCCTGACTCCGCACATTACATCTTTGCATCTGTGTTGGGCCGGCGGCTTAAAAGACACTGAGCAAAGGCCGCGTGTAGCTGAAGTCTCTCTCGAGGGAAATTTGATTTGTTCAGTAGGGAGGCCCCTCTGGATATTGTAAGGTCTGTATTGAGAAGGGAACCTTTATGCCAGGCCTAGAAAAGCACGTGTTAAATTGCTTGATGACACTGGCACGCTGTAACCCCGGGAGCTAGGAGCAGCGGGGAGGAGGAGGAGGAGGACACAGGCACACGTGTGTCTTGTACACACGTGTGCCCCCTTACCAGAGCCGGAGCGGAGGCGAGTGCAGCAAAGGCGAGCAGAGCAGCAGCAGCTGATCCCCCGAAGGTAAGTGGGGCAGAGAGACCGGCGCAGCTGAGCCGGATCCGGAGGGGAAGCCCCGCGGATCCCTCTTTGCTGAGCCGGGAGCGAGCGGCGCGAGCAGGCGCGGCCTGTCCGAGCGCCGGCGGGCAAGCAGGAGGGGCCCAGAGGCGGACTCCTGCTCGCGCGGGGCAGAGGACCTGAACTCAGCCGGATACTCAGCCACTCCGGCGATGGTGTCGACCCGGAGCGCTGCTAGGGCCCCTGCCCGGGGGCGGGGCGCGGCCTTCCCGGGGCTTGTCTGAGGAGGCCTAGAGAAGCACGTGTTAAATTGCTTGGTGACACTGGCACTCAGTGATCAGCCACCCCAGGTGGTTACAAATTTCAGTACGTAAGGGCTTTTCAGTGCAGCAGAGGCCGTAGGGTGCCTCCGTGAAGTAAAGAGCATGTGTCAATTGGCAGGGAGCAGTCTGCATCCAGAAAATACCAGCAAACTGGGAACCAGTTGCTGATTTAATTCTGCTCTTAATAAGGAGCTTTCTTTACTTCTAGGGAGAATGTTTTAATCCCCCCGTTGGGCTTTGACCCATGCCTGCTTCTAGCCTGAAAATATTTCTGAAGCCACCACATTCAGCCGAAGACCTCGTTCTGTTTTGCAACAGCACCACTTATTTAACCTTGTTAAGTGTGGCTGTCAGCTATGCTGTGCCTCTGTGTGAAGGGCATGTCTGCGTTTCAGCAGCGCGCTGTCCTTTTCCAAATGCGATGCATCATCGCCATTCACATAAATACACCAGCAGATGTCTGCGTGTAGTCTTCCCATGCAACTGGATTAGGAAATCTCCCTGCATTAGCCCTGGAGGAAGCATGGATGTACTGTGTGCTCCTCTCATTTGTAGCTTAAAGCTGGACAGCTTCCCTCCATTGCACAGGTTTATCAGACCGACACGTTCAGGCAGCGTCTGGGGAAAGACCTGCTGGAATTCCATTAGGATGCCTTTCAGTTGCTAACTTTCTCTCCCCTCTGAAATGTTTTTCTCTATTTCCTGAAGCACAAGAGAGAAACTCTCTGGTTTTCAGAGCATGGGCTGAGTAGCCATGAATGAAAACCAAGTGATTAACATGGGATCTGGCCTCATTCTGGGGTGTCGGAGCTCTCTGCAGCCAGGGGCCTAACAGCCTGCACTATTCTGGGGAAAAACAGGAAAGACATAACCTGCCTAGATAGCTTCCAGCCACTGTTCCCTGCAGTGCTTGCTACTAAGGGATGGAGGGGGGCTTCTCCCCAAAGGCCAGTCCTCTTTCACTGCTATACACTGCTTAGCTTCTGCTAAGACAAGATGCATATGCTCTCAGTCTGTAATTTTGGGTTGGGTTGTCTAGCTGTCCTGGAGGGAAGCAGTTAAGTTTGGTGTAGCTCTGATGTTGAACAGCATGGGTGGTGGCTGGCCTTGGTGTTGGCTTGCTCTGGTGGGTTAATTAGTGGATGTACTGATGTATATATGACCAATCATTACTGCCCCCTGGAACAGTCGACATGCAGGGTGTCATAAGGCAAGCCCGACTGAGTGGCTGCCGTATTAAATTGGAGGTTGCATTCAGTTCTGGAGGATTGTTCCATTATAATATGCTTCTTAAACTTGCATATATACTCAAGTGCAGAAAATATGGATTGCCTTTGAAAGAAAGCAACAGCGGACTATTTAAGAGTACGTGCTTGCTGCCTTGTGGGCTGGGGGGGGACACGAAACATGCTGTAGCAGTCTGAGACTGGTGTTTGTAGTTTCCATTTGTAACCCTGCGCCAGATCCTCACCGGGGGCTTCCCCCCCAGGGGCAGATTGCAGGATCGGGGCTGCTATCCACTTAATCAGTATTGTATAGAGCTGATCCGACCTCTACCAAAGCAAGTCTTGCATCGAAAAATCCCCTCTCCCCTGCCTGAGCTTGCTGAACGGATTTCTTTGCCACATACCCCAGAATCGAGTGGTTAAGAATCCTTCTACCTTTCCTCATTGAAATGGACCCATCAGGATGCAATCCTTTCTGTTGGACAGGTTCAAATATCTGTATTAATAATGAAGGTAATAAATTACATGGCTGGAACTAAAATTGCTTTTAAAAGCCCATTGAGTTTTTCCATTTTACTCCATTTGGCCAGTGCAGATCAAGATCCCGCCAGTCAGCTTTGCTTTTGTCTCTAGTCAGTGTTGGGTTCCCTCTGAAGACCTCTTACTCTGCCAGTTGTAGGGCCAGGTCAGACCTGAATCAAAACACTGGTTTGAAAATAAAATTTCCAAAAAACCCCATCTTTATAAATGCTGGGTTTTAGCAAACAGTTTCATTTTCCTGTTCAAGACCTCTGAGCCAAACCTATACTGGGGAAACCCTTAATTGTGCTAAGCAAATTAGCTGAGAGCTTCTTACTTGGCCTTTTCAGTCAACAGCATTTGAGAGAGTCTGTCTGAACGGCATGGTGATCTTCCTTGAACTGACTTTGTTGCCGGATAACCCTGAGCAAGAACTGCATGAGCCCACAAATCCTCTTTTTGTCTGTTCCCACTAACCCTAGCCCGGCCAGTTGTGCTAAGGTTTTCTGCTCTCTGTGCTGTTCCTTGACACTGGCTGCCTGGTAAGTGATGTGTTTCTCCTCCCACAACTCTGGCCAGCATTGCACATCAAACATCAGGAGCAAAGTAGCTTCCCATTTATTATTTTGTGCCCTGCAGTCTCCTGTCTCCCGTCCCGTTGTAAGCCAGAGAGCTCGTGGCGGCAGGAGTGATAGAGTTAACGCAAGCCAAGCACCTAGGGAGAAGTCAGCGTCAGAAAGAAGCTAATATTCAGCTGTCCCTCCATGGAGAGCTGAGAATCTGTGCTCATATACTTTCCTGATCTCCTTTTTCTGATTCCTCATCAGAAAATTGGAAAGGTTAACTGAGAGCTGCTTTGTAGGGCTCTTTAAATCACATGCCTACAGGGTAATTTCTCAGACCAAGTAAGCTTTGTCACGTCTGCCTTGGGACCCCCATCGGTTTTGTGCCTTGAACAGGGGTGGCAATGCCAGATCTTCCATCCGCGAGGTCTGGAGGTGGTGCCTTCACAGCGCTTCTATTCAGCCCGTCCCCAGGTCTTTTGCCTGGGAAGAGCTGGGAATTGGGTCCAAAGGAGTCAGTTTGGTGTCCCCACGCTGTCAGATCTGTCTGATAGGATGATGTCTAAGCTGCCATTTGGCCGGAAGGGCTGCAGATTCCAGCTCCCCATCCCCACACCTACACATTAAACTTGTGCCCCAGATTTTCTCCTGCAGCTTCCCCAAATTGCCCCACCTGTCCTCCGAGCAAGAGTTCACCATGAAGGCTAGAGCACACAGGGCAGCTTGCTCAGGCCCCAACTCCCTCCGATCCCAGCGTATGTGCTGTAGCTGCTAGTGGGCATTTGGAGCCTCCAGCTGGCATCTGCTACCTGGCAGAGGAGCACGATGGGCCACGCATCTGGTAGATATCCCCCCCTTAGCCCGTGATGCACCGGTGCTGTCCGTCCCTACTGCACCGGTGGTTGCTGTCTCCTCTGGAAACTGTCTGAAGGCTGCCAGTCGCTAGTGAGTTCCCGTGGGAACACACGGGCTTTTTTTCCATTTGGTGTGAAAGGCAAATTGAGGCCAGTTCCCACCCTGTGGCACTGGGCTCTGCAGTTCGGGCCTCGCGGTTGCCCATTTACCAAGTGCTCGTAGGAGGCTCCTGATGGTACCAGCCTAATGAGCAGTTTTAGTATCAAGCCTAGATAGTTTCTGCTGGAGTGGTGCTGCTGGCCATGACCTTTCAGAGCCCAACACGTGCGCACAGCCTTGCTTGACTGACGCCCAAATGCTTTGTGTAGGATTCCTGCTTTGGTGGCAGCTTCTGACTAGGACTCTGCTTTTCCCCTCTGCCAGACGGAGACCTCACGGATACTCTCAGCTGCCCGCGCTCCGTGGCCTCTGACACGAACGGCAGCAAGGTTTCCATGAAGAGCCCGACGCAGCGCTACAACCCCTTCAACGAGGAGAAGGCCGAAGTGGTGTCCTCCAGCGAGACCACCCCAGTGCATGCCGCCTCCCAGGAGAGGGTGGACGCAGCCACAGAAGGCACGGACCAGTCGGAGAGCTGCACAGAGCTGGAAGTCATCAGGTGGGTACCGAGCTGCCCAGATCCACCTCTGGGGAACTGTGGGCAAGGGTCACTTGAACACCTAGGCTTTGACTGATCCAAAACTGACGGTGCAGCACGAGGACCAGGATGAAACAAATATTCTGAAGGACCTGTGACGTAGCACAGGATTAAAGTAACTCAGCACTGAATGCAGCTACTCCCGTGATCGGTAGAATAACAGAATAGAGAGGTGGACCCAGATATGCACCTCGCTAGGGGTCCGGCTCTCCTCTACCAGCACGAGGAGCCTGCAGTGACCCACCAAGTGAGCCTAGAACAGATGGCCGCAGTATAACCAATGATTAGAAACACGGAGAGAGAGAGAGAAACAACCCAAGCTTTTGTCAAGGCTGCCATGGGGCGTGATGCACTGTTAGCCCTGCTCAGTGTGCAGGCATGAGTCACGAGATAAGGGAGGTCTTGAGTCTGAAAAGGTTGAGGACCGCTGCATTGTAGGCAGGAACGTCACTCTCCATGTTAGTGGCAGAACTAGTCTGCGAAGGAGTTCATGGGATGCTCCTAACTAGAGCCTCAATGTAGCTGCATCCTGGAGCTTGCAGCTCTCTCTAATGGCAGCAAGCATCACTGCATCTCCGCGTCCAGCCTCTCCAGAAGCTGAAACCCAGCTGGTGTCAGCTGGGATTGTCAAACCAACAGAGCAGGGAAGCGAGCTGTGATACTTGGATCCTTTCTGCTTCTGCCACTGACTCCCAATGGGCGCCGCTAGTCAGGGCACTTAGTTTCTGTGCCTTGGTTTGCCCATCTGTACGTGCAGCAGGCTATTCAAATTATGCAGCTGTTCTGAACGCCAAGAGAGGGCAATGTGGTTTTTAGCTGAAAGGCTCTGTCTGCATGTGTGGGTGTGCTTGGGGATCAGCTCTTCGGTCTGATTCAATGAAGAAACCTGTACCTGGTTCACTGCTGTAAGCTGTTTCTGTCCCAGGATAATCATTTTAGTAGTAGTGAGCTGTCCCTGCAGAAAAGGGTAAACGTACAGACAGCCGAGCCTGATGCTTTATCACAAGTGTAGGTCCCCCTCCCATAGGCGCTGTGTGCAAGGCCAGATTCTGGTAACGTCCATGCTGGTTTCATACTTTGCAGATTAGCTAAAAAGAAGAAGACGGGCAAGAAAAAGAAAGTGAAATCAGAGGAAGCGGTGAATCCTTCCCCCTCTGCTTCTGCTGAGTCCAGTGGGGACAGTGGCGTGAACGGACTGAGTGACGGTGCTGAGCTGCAGAAAGGCAGCAGCCCTCCCTGTCCAGAGGCCGTCGAGGGCCAGGAGAGGCCGGAAGAAAGCGGCGAGCACTCGGCCCTCAGCCAGCTGGGCCTGCGGATCCCGGAGATGAAAGACACCTCCATGGAGAGCGTGGGGCAGCCGCTGAGCAAGGTGATCGACAAACTGCACGGGCAGCTGGACCCCAGCAGCTGGACCGCCAGCGTTGAGCCCCCCGATCAGTCCTTTCGGACCGGCACGCCAGGGGAGACCCCGGATGAGCCGTCCTCTGGCGACTTTAGTGAGGGGATTTCAACCCCCATGGACTTCTACCGCTTTACCGTCGAGAGTCCAAACGCTCCTGCACCAGGTGGTGGCAACCATGACCCTGCAGGGGATGGCCAACCGTCGCATGTTCCTGGTAGCCCTGAAGCTGCTGGACAAGAGGAAAAAGGAGGAGAGGGAGAAGTGGCTGGGGCCATAGAGGACTCCCAAGAGGGGGTGGCTAAACCCCAAGCCCGGGAGGCTGAAACTGCCAGTGCCGAGGCACCCAGCAAGCCCAAGAGAGACCAGCCCAGTCCCTCCCTGAGCAGCGCTGAGGACTCTGGGGTGGAGGAGGGCCAGGGCAGCCCCTCAGACACGGCCCATCCGTCGGAGTTCAGGTAGGACGGCATCACTGGGCCTGGGGGCTGCGGCATGTTGCAGCAGCGCAGATGAATGCTCTGCGGGGCGCTGACGGCAGAAGGGGAAACCGCTCTGCGGAGAGCCCCCCCCATCCAGGCAAGGAGAGCAGCTCTGTAAGGCAGTTCCTTCCCCTGCCTGGCCTGAAGGAGCTTTCAGGCACTGTGGGGAGCCCTGGCTAGTCAGCGGGGGGGCAGAGCATGGTGCTGAGGAGCCCTGCAGGGTGGGAATAACTGCAAACACTTCTCCCCCACCACGAGGGAGCTCCTGCTGCTAGTGGGTAACACGGACGGTGCCTGTGGTCCTTGCTCCCGCCATGGCCGTGAACACGGCCAGCTAAGCAGTAGCCCTGCAGGTTTGGAGGTGGTGCTCAGATCCCAGCCCTCCCTGCTCTGTCCTGATCCCCACGGAGGCAGTGTAGACGGAGATGAGCCTTGCATGCTGGGGCCCGATGCCAGCTATACGCTATAACTCTAGGTGGCACCTGAGGCGCCTCATGCTCCTTGGCCCTTCCACCCTCGGAGGGAGAAGAGGTCTTGGTGCGTGTTTAACCCCTGCCTCCTTCCCACGGCAGGGTGGATAACAACCATCTGTTGCTGCTGATGATCCATGTCTTTCGGGAAAACGAGGAGCAGCTGTTCAGGGTAAGATTGGCCTTGTCCAGTCAAGTGATTCGGTCTCTTCCCATGCAGCAGTGACCCAGGCCGTGGGACCATTGTCTGGAAAGCTGCAGACAGGGCAGCGGCACGGTGAACCAACCACAAAACCAGAGAGAGAGAGGCTGGTAAGGCCACTTAGTGCAGCCTCCTGATCAGGGCAGGGCCACCCCTGTAACCCGTCCCAGACACAGGCTCATTTACCCTGCACTGGACAGTAGCAGGGATGCCTCAGTCCATCCCATGAATGCCAGCAGCTATGGAAGTGTGGGAGCGGTGGTATCAGCCAGGCGATAAGCACGCGTCTGTCTTGTCGCAGAGATGGAGCCTAAACTTGTCTAGAGCCACCTCACAGAGCTGGTCATTTCCAAGGCCGCAGCCCTGCTAGGAACGCGGTTATGACCTGGGTTACACTCACGAGCCAGGCTGCCTGCAGGCAGGATCGCATCTCTGCATCCCAGAGACCCGGTGCCCGTGTTAACAGCAAACCAGAAGCACGGTTTGGTGAGGCATCTCTTCTCTCTCCTTGCACAGATGATCCGAATGAGCACGGGGCACATGGAGGGGAATCTCCAGCTCGTCTATGTCCTGCTGACGGACTGTTACATTTACCTGATCCGGAAAGGTATCCCGGCCCAGCGGCCTCTCTGCTACCTCCCCATGAAGCACCACAGACACCAGTGAGGCCTTTTGGTCCCGCAGGGGTTTCCCCTTGAGAAGCCTGGATGTGCAGTGAGGGAGCTAGGGGGGCCTCCAAGGCGCACAGCCCTGTGCAGGGGCTCATGCCAGGGTCATTTCACAGCTGTTGAGGGAGCAAGAAAGGTACAGGTCTTCCTTTCTGTGGTACTAGAAGTTCAGATCTGCTCACAAGAATCCCGGGATGGCTAGTACTGCAAGAGAGAAGGCTTGGCCTACAGGCCAAAAGCCGCAGGGCAGGCAAGGGCAAGTCTGTGTGCTGAGTTTTGGAAATCTCCCTTCTCCCAGTTCCTCACACTCCCCTGTGTCCTGTGCCAGGAGCCGCGGAAAAGCCTTACCTGGTGGAAGAGGCCGTTTCCTACAATGAGCTTGACTACGTCTCGGTGAGTTTAGGCTGAGCCCACAGCAGCTGACGCAGACATCCCTGGGCCCAGGACCCAGCACAGGGGACGACCAGGAAGAGGCCTGTAGTTTTTGCCTGGCTGGGTTAGATTCATTTTGCAGCCCCCTTCTGGCTTCAGGGATTTGGGAGCATCGCACAAGTATCAGGAGCGCTGCTTGGGGGCAGCGATCCCTGGGAGTGGAGTCATGGAGCCAGTCCTGCATGACTGCAAGGTTTGTGGTCTCAGGGTGGGGGATCTCGACTGGGGGTGCAGAGGACGCGCCCTCTCCCCCATAACTTTATTTCCCCTTTGGCTTTTAGCTGGTGTCGCATCAGGCCCAAGAAGGGGCGGGGGGGAGTTTCTCTTCAAGGCCTTGTCCCCATCCTGCTTCTCAGCCACTGACATCTTACCACCACAGGTCGGCCTGGATCAACAGACGGTAACGCTGGTCTGTACCAATCGGAGGAAGCAGTTCCTGCTGGACACCGCCGACGTGGCCCTAACAGAGTAAGTTAGATGGTTGTGCACAGCCGTGATACTGTCCCTCCTCGGGCACAGGTTTATTTATCAGCAGTTTGCTCAAAGCCTCAGGGCTGTCCCTCGTATATCTATAGTGGCCTCATTAAGTTAAGGCAAGTGCCTCTGATTAAAGCCTACTGTCTGAAACGGAGTCTGGATCTTATGATCTCTCTGCTGTTTCAAAGTCCCCGAGCTGTGTGCGAGTTGGAGGTTGTGTGAAGTACAACAGTCCAGCCCTGGAAATGGTTTAACACTTGGATTGAACTAAATGGTTTTAAACCACTTGGATTGAATTGCAAAGCACTCCAGCAGCTCCCTCTCCTGGCTGCAATTCCAGCGCGTCACCTGCAGCTTCCAGTTGCGATATCTCAGTCGTCGTTCTTGCACTGCTCGTGTGCGTCTGGTTCCCAAGGTGCACCAGCGACCAGGCTTTGCTGCAAACTGCCATGCCTGCTTGTACTGCAGAATAAGTGTGTGACATTAGCCTTCTCTCCAAGACCAGGCTGGGACTGAGTGCCCCTAAGCAGGACACTTGCTCTTTTTATAACGCCCTTGACGGATGAAGATAAATTGCTCGAGTTCTGAGGTCACTGACAAACCCGCAGCTCTTTCCTCACTCTGTAAGTGGCCTGGTCCCTGGCGGACTTGTGGGTGCCTTGGGGCCCGTGGGCAGCACCTTCCTTTTTTAAGCTAAATCAGTTGGCTGTCCTTCCCACCATGCTATTTCA